GAGCCACCTCAACTGGCTCCTCTCGACGTGGAGGAGCAGCGGCTCTACTCTGAGTCCCTCCCGGATGAATAGACATATTAGTTAATTAAGATATCTTTAATTACACTCTGACTAGTATAAATGATGTATGGGGGCTTTAATTCAAGGTATCCTAAATGGCATTAAGATGTTTTAAATGTATGATAAGATTAAACTAATGCAAATTCAATTTCAGACTTTTTCATGATCTGTAATTTTTATTTTAAAAAAGCTCCTGTACAAGTTTGAAACATCCTGGGCGAGCCCCCAATTTATTTTACGAGCAAATTCTCTGAACAACAGCATAAATGTAGAAAAAAAATGTTGAGAATTTACCACTTTTAATATGAAAAGCAGGCAACTAAAAGGCTTCAACAACTTCATCATAGCCTRGCAAACAGCTGCTAGAGTGGTGATTTGCCTCCGGCCTCCACAGGCATGATTTAAATCCACACCTTCAAGGCACAGCCATTTGGGTCAGTCAAGCGGAGCAGAGTTGTTGCAACACCACAGTTTCCTTATATATTGTATATTATAGGAAATTAAAGTGAAAAACCTTTGTAAGAAGTATTTTAGACTTTGGATTGTTCTATTGTTTCTTTTTCCCTCACTCCCCCACCACCAAAAGATGACTGACAAGTACTTAGCATTTCTCCCACTTGAAGTATGACACCAATTCCACGCAGCTCTTCACCTCGCTGTCCAGCAAACCTCTGTGGTACGAAACAATCAAAGTGAGGCTTTTTTTTTCATAATAGAGGACATGACTGCGCTGAATCACACAGAGATGGAGAAGGTGAGAAACAATCTGAAAAGGTGGGTGTGAGTTACGGGGATAYGRACATGTGAGAGACAACGATTCTCCTAAACTGTCAGAGAATCAACAACCAACAAAGAGCCAACTTTAACTACAATTACAACTTTCTGGTGTGCGTTTGATTATTTCATTCTTGTTTTACATTCATTAATGTTGTTTTACATTCATTAATGTGAATTATTTATCTTTAATATGTGTTGCCATTTTTGCCCTGAATTTATTGCGTCATAGCTTTTGTTGTTGTTGGCCCCAGCTGTGGTTCCAGCTCGTGTCTGTTGCTCTGCTGCCCGGACCCCTGTTCACGCTCCACTGATGCGGCAGGTCAGGCAGGCTCATGAGATCGGAAAGCGTAAATGGAAATGAGCAAGCGTTAGGCCGTTCAGAGTACGACACCTTTCTCTGAGTGTTAACTCGCTGTGATCGTGACACCGGATCAGATTTCTGAACATCGTGTTGGCAACAAAACAAAGACGAGCACTGACTTTAGACTCTGGTGTTCTGGCAAGTCTCACTCTTCCAGTCGGACTTTTGAGCCTCACTGAATGGCTGTWAAAATCACCAAATGATGGTATCAGTGGTTTCCTGAGTTCTTTTTAAATATCAACCCCAGAATGTTTTGAATTTCAAACTTTCACAACTCTTTGTTACTGTAAACAAATATTTTTCCCAAGTTCTTGTTCCCGGATCTCTGTTCATTGTCACCGAAAACAACCAACAAACAATGTGATATAAACAGCAAACTCAGAGTAATTTGTGTGCAGCGATATAGTACACTAATGTTGCTTAAAATAATTTRGTTGTAATTGTCCTGCCATTTCAAACTTAGACAACTAATTGTGTCGAGTACATAATGTTCACTCGTTTCACTCAGAATAAGGAAGAAGATCAAATTAGATGCTTTGTCTTAGAGTCCATTTAATCACTCTTCCATTCCTTATTAATCTGTTTATCTGACATTTATACTTGTTTTCTGACTCTATCCATCTACTTAGCGCCAYATTTTACTATCTTTATTCATGCAGYTGGCACTTCAGAGGGGGAGCCTATTCTGCAACAGCTGCCAAACACTTTTCACCACAAAAGTTTAGCATTAGGTGCGTGCATATTATGTCTATAAAATGTGTAACACTGTGTGTATCACTGTTAAACAGTAAAAGATTTTTCAATCCGGAAAGTACATAACAGCAACATTTCATTCTCCTTAACTACAACAAATTATGATGGGTAGCTGTATATCTTCAAAACCAAACACTGCGGTTATTGAATAAATGAATATATTATGGGGTGTGTTGAAGCGGGACTCTGTATAACAAAACAGGAGGAAAAAAAAGGTTTGGGGAAAAGTTGCAGCCAGCGAAGGAAAATAAATTCAACTGGCAGGCGGCAGGTAGAAAATGCTCTGGAGGAGAAAACTGAGGTGGGGATTTCACAGTCAAATAACTTGTGACATTTTTGACTAGAGCTGTTGATGAGATAGAGCGAAGAATTACCTTGGTGTGTCAAAACAGCGTCTATTTTTCCTGTTATAAGCTTTCCAACAAGTGCAGATTTATAAAAAAGAACAATGGAGTGGAGAAATTGGGACTTCTCAAGCAAGTTTCGGAAAGTTTGCTGTGAGCAGTACTTCTCCTGCAGCTCRTGTGAAAGACTTCAAGCATGTGGCTAAATTACATCTGTGTAAAAAAAAGCCAAAGTGTTACGGAATTGAAACATTAGGGATGTAAAATGTTCTTTTTGTAGGTGAAAATAGAAATTTTGATGGTAACCAACCAGGCCAACAATGTCTATGATCCATTTATCCGTCCACAAATCCACCTTCTTTAAAAATCAGGTTGTGAGAGAAAAAAAAAATATGAAGAAATCACCAGAGCTCCATGTTCYCAGTTACCTCCTTCAGCCACTCTGGAGGGGCTCCAGGGTGGTCCCAGGCTAGTTGTGAGATATAAACTCCACAGCAAATCATATGTCTGACCTGAAGTCTTTTCCTCATGGGACATGTTCAAAACCCCTCCGTCAGAAGGCATTCCTACTAAATGCCTGAACCATCTTAGCTGGCGTCTGTCAATAGTTTGGATCAGCAATTTTACATTTTATATTCCTTCCAAATAGTCAAACTCCTCACTCTACCCCAATAGGTATGTCAAGCCACTCTGACTGGAAGCTCATTACAGCAGCTTTAATTTGTCTTGTTCTTTCAGATATAAAGTGTAGCTCTCGACCGTAGGTGAGGGTTGGAACTAGGGGTGTAGCAATGCATCGATCCACATCGATATATCAGTAAAAATGATTAAAGATTCAATTACATCAAAGCAAAATTAAAATGTCAATCCATATCATCGTCATACACCCTAAGTGGATTGATATCATACGCCCATATTACATGATAACAGATTTTGTGATATAGATAAGCATTGTTTCGTCATCAAAAAAAACATTGATATATCATATTGTGATATAGCTGATGATTTACACGCCTACATGTAAAGTAGTTTGATTGGTTATTCGACAACTTTGCATTTCAGCTCAGCTTACTGTTCCTCAACAGACCAGTACAGAGTCCACGTCACTAAATATGCCACACCAATCCACCTGTCAATCTTACACTCCACCCCCACTCATGAACACAACCCCCAAATACTTCAAGTCCTCCACTTGCTCATTCCAAACACAAAGATGACAATCCATTCTGTTCTAGTGGAAAACTATTGCCTCAAACTTGGAGGTGCCTAATTTCACCCTAGCTGCATCACAATCAGCGTTACACTTCCCAAGTGAACGTTGAAGGTCCAGAATCAACAGAATCAATTAAAAAAGAGCAATCTTGACAAAGTTCAACACTACTGAGGACTGAACCTAACTTATTACCAACATTACAAACCAATAATTGACTAATGCTAAAATGCTTTTTGAGGATTTGAGAAACTTCTCTAAAAACATTTAATTTTAATTTTTTTTTATAAAATAGAATTGATACTATAGAATTTTGGCTGTGAAACATTGAAATGACGTAGCTTTGTTAGGCAGTGGAAAAAGGCAAATGAATTGGCATTTAGTGCTAATCTACTGCCAGAATCTGTGTAACTTTGCTTCCTGTCTATCAAATTTCAGATGCAGAAAAACAGCACTCTTTYCAGCCAATTTTCACCAGCCCACACATTACAAAAATGCTATAATAAGACATTACACACATTTTCGTCAACCTCTTTGCTTCAAATATTGCAATAACAGCATTCACAAAACAATGTAAAAGAATTTCATACCAGGCTRTTCTATAAATCCAACACAGCAAAAGCCGGGAGTCAAAAGCAACATTCTGAGAGCTTTTCAATCATTATACCATAAAAATGGCAAGCCGTAGGTCAAATGAGTCATTATAAGTACATCTTTTTTATCTTAGTGAGGGCAGAAAATTGTCAGTAAACCCAATGGACTACCATAAAGAGGATTTTATAAGAGTGCTTGTAATGGTGAAAGGCTTATTGAGTGTCTGAATCTGMAAGTTTTAATCTTTAGGGGAACATGACTTTAATTTACCAGGTATGTACTAATACTGGAGATTTAGCAGATAGCACAGCAAAAATGTATCAGAAGATCTTTTTGTTTCCTGTAGTTTTTAGATAAAAGAAAATTGAATATGAGTCAATTTCTGTCATTGTATTATTTAATTACATTCTCTCTACGCAATTTGCTTAATGAGTTTTGTGAAGTAAAAATGTAAGTAAAAAAATTCTGGTCTTACCAAGTCTGTTGTCTAATGCTCCAAAATCCAAAGTGTATTTGACGACATGGTAGTTGTTCCAAACATACAGCAAGTTGTCCCTGGGATTATAATCCACAGCAGCAATGTACTGATACGAGTTAGGAAAAGGGATGTCCAGAAACCCATCTTTACTTAGTTCTGTGTTGTAGATGTAGTCAATCTTATTTCCTGTTGCTTCATTGTCGTCATCTTCATAGACTGACTTAACCACATAGAGGATTCCACAAATCATGAAGGCGTTGGAAGCAGAACGCTTGTCGTAAGCCGTGTCCCAGGTCCCCTCAACCCGCAGTGTGTAGGGATTGAGCTGGCTRATGACGATCCGCCCGTTGTTTTGCTCAGTGGCGTAAATCACCCAAAGCCCATTTTCATCCACAGCCAAGTCGATGTCTGATTTTCCTCCCCAGCGGTATGGAGACGTGTCATGATAGTTGGCGTTGGCTATGATAGCCTCACCGCTCTTGATCCGAGTCCGCAGGTCAAACTTGACGATGTTGCGCGTGCGCTCCTTGTTGAAAAACAGTGCGCCGTCATAGACCACAAAACCTGTTCCATCAACACGATGTGGCAGTTTGTAGGTCGTTGTTGGCCTCCCAGCTATGAAGTCTTCCTTGGATGAGTATTCGGTCAAGGTATCTGTGCGATAGGGTGTCCAAGGCATGTAATAGATCTTRTCGGAGGCCTGGAGAGGGTCTTTGCACCAGGCTCCGGACTGGTGGTCCGACTCGAAGAGGTGCTCGCTCTGGTACACCCTGCGCAGAAGTCCTGGGCACAGGAATACTGAGGAGCCAAAAATGGGGAAAAACAATTACAGAGTTACATTGGCAGGTATTGAAAAAGAAGGACAGTAATAGACATCAAAGCCAAATCCCATTCCACCTCTTTCCCCTACCTCTTAGGCCTACTCTTGTGTTTTGACTATTCATGCTGGGTAGCAGCATTTCCCAATTATTTTAGTGATGTAAAAGGATGGTGAATRGTTCTGACCTTAGATGTTGTTGTCACAACAATCATTATAAATGGATGTTCATATTATTTTTGCTTTCTCCCRTAAGTGTGCAAAATTTTGTTGCTTTCAGACTGGTGTCATTCTGGCTTAGTTCAGCAGGTTATTGCTATGTTCTCGTTTGTTGCTCTATGATTAAAGCACAAAATAAATACAGTGTAAAAAACCTGAATAGTTGTAAATAATGTGCACATTGTGTGTAGAGCTGTGATAGTAGGTCTAGGTGAGGTTGTGACAAGTATTACAARCTTTGGGCCAATCTTTAAGAAATAATCACTTTATTATTGCTTTAAACACCCATCCTCTCCTAGATACAGGACGAATATAATAGGGCTGGGTAATTAAAAAAAAAGACTAAATTGATCTTGGATGGATTTAATTTAAWTTTGCAATATCAYTTCATAGGGCAAGCAATTTTYCCCCATGACGTTAACCTCAGTAGTCTTGTGAGTGATGAAGCAGGGGCGCGTTGATGTTTTGTGTCACTCCTGGCTTGCCATACATTTACGTCCAGTTGACGTTCATCCAAGTGCACAAATGGCAAACGTTAGCTTCTATTAGCTTCCAAGTCATCCAGGGCAACAAAAGAATTCAAGGGAATCACTAGCATTACCAGCCTATTCTCCGCAGGGCATAAAAAAACAGAGGCCATGGCAACTTTTGTTTGCAAAGATTTACGCCCATGGTCTGTGGTGGGAAATGAAAGCTTCAAGCGGCTTGTTAAGGTGTGTTTAGGTATGTAAACATTTGACTGAAATTGTTTAGTTGTTTAGTTGTTAGTTTTGCTACCTCTATTATTAATTTTACAGTTCAAGAAACATTGTCTTAATGAAATTTACAGTGATGGAATGTTATAGTTGTATATTTTCACTTGCCATTCCTTTCTAATTTAAACACCTTTGAGAGTTTTGTTTGCAGTTCAGGTTTAAACCATCCAATTTACAAATTTGATTGAATTAATCAATCCAAAACCTTGTTGAATCGATACAGGAAATTGGCCATGATACCCAACCCTAATATATAGGCATATTGACTCTGAATCATTGAACCTCTACACTTTGTGACTTCAAATTAAGGGCCAAGAGGTAAAGGTTAACGCTAGAAAATGGGATTCAGCTCACACACACACACACACACACACACACACACACACACACACACACACACACACACACACACACACACACTCAAGTTTAACTGTGTAGCTCAGAGCTCATTATGAAGGAGTTGTTGACCCACGCCTCTTGATCAGCGTTGGAATAATCAGACTTTGATTAAAGGCAGCGATAATAAATAGAAATCAGCAATGGCCTTTATTATATTATGCCAACAAATATTGAATTACGAAAGCATATAAATCATAATTTACCAGTACACAACCAAGATAGAACCTTGTATCCTATRATTTTTACATCGTGTAAAATGTGTTTTGCACGCATCGAGTTAGGTTTCAATGAGATCCTTCAGTTTATTGCTCACAAAAGAGGGAACATTTCTGGTTTAGTTTTGCTCTGACCCCTAAAATAAATTATCTACAATGCTGCTAAACAAACCGATTTAATGTTTGGAGGGAGGGAATAATAAATTCAGCKAGGGTTATATCGTCTGACTTTATGAGCTTGGAGAAGTTTGAGATGCTGCTAAAACTAACAAAACACACCACTTCTCGCCCACACGCACACACACAGTCGCTTTTCATATTCACTACACTTTTCTGTTTTTGGTGTCTTTCATTCACAGACAAAAACAGAAGCAGTGAAGATATGGTTTGATTCTCTGCTTTATTTTCCAAAAAAAATCAAATAAAAATTCTCCAAAATCTGATAAATAGCTGTGCTGTAATGATTATTGGCCATGGCAGCTTTTTGAGAAAATGAAAACAAATCAGAACAAAGGAAAACACAAGATCGTCTACGTAGCAGTAGTGACTGCTTTCCATTATTTCATCTGCATGACGTTTTTATCTGGGGTGTGATTTAGAGCACCACACACGCTAAACTAATTACACGTGAACCGGTTTGTACTCAAATCTGATAAAGCTAGGCCAAGGCAATACAGCTGGAGCTGGTCAATAGTGGGGAACCATTTGCAAAAGCCAATTTCAGTTGACTATTGATCACCGTGGAGCGAGGAAATAGTCATTTTCTCTTCGTTTGAAAAACACGGCTCCTAAATCCTCAAATAAAACCACAGGCTTAAAACCTTAAACATATATTCTCTTTTTAMAAATGCAAATATAATCAAAACAAGAGCACAAAAAGGAGAGTTTTGTTTTTCACAGGGGGTGCATTAGGAATAAAACACAATATGTGAGAAAGCTCTTTTCGGTACAGCGGGGCAGCAGGCTTGACACAGTGCTGACAGGTTCTAGCAGCAGATCCGTTGAGAGGTAGAACCTGCGTGCTCCGAGGGAAAAGGAGGAGAAAGAGACAGAGAAAACAGAACCTTCTTCKCTCTTGTAATCTCCCAAGATTAAACATGTTGTCTACCTGCAGGTGAAAATGTGGTGAGATGCGTCCCGGTGACACAGAGCCTCGGCTCACAGCTCAGYGTTAGCTCTGCTAAATGCTGAGGGAGCTGTTTTTCTCCCGTTGGAAAAAAAAAGGAAAAGAAAAACAAGATGTGCCGGGCTACGAGGTCAGAGTAGGAGAGCTTTGTACTGACAGCACATTGTGGGGGGGATCAATGGAGGTTTTTTTTAAAAAGACGCTTTTTAAGAATGTGAATGCAGAGATGAAGCCGTGTATGACAGGTATTAAAAAAATAAGACAATCCTGGCTTTCATGGAGAATGTTTCCAAGCCTTTACTTCAACCTGATCTTTATCTGGACAAGATTTATTAAAGGCCTACCATCATTGAAAGAAAACACATTATCCACTGCTTTTTATGTCTTTTRACTAAAATAACCTCATGTTAAGATGGAACAGAGTTATCGCTATTTTGATCAAACCTTAAAAATATTTATACACAGTTTCAGATATTGTGACCTACTAGTGCTCAATATGTGTCGTGAATGACACTCACCTACTACCATGCAAGATTTTAGCTCAATATTTGTAAAATGAGCTGATTTAGAATATTTTTTTCATGTCTAGGATCCAATATCTTTACAAGATTTCTTCTTTTTTTTTTTCATTTTATTTTTATAAGGTTTATTCTGAATGTAAATCAGCTGTAGATGTACATCCAATAATTACTCCCTGACARTTTTTTTCTGAAACTTGGCCAGTAGTTCATGACATATTTTAACAAACAATTAAGGCTAAAGTAAAAAAAAAAAAKATCTTGTTATCAGTTAGCGTTCAGGGTTTGTTGTGAATGACTCTTGGCCATTAGCCCATCAAATATTAGCTCAATTTCTTGAGAATCGACTGATCCATCTCTATCTTCTGTCGCTTATCCATAGTCGGGTCATGGAGGCAATAGGCCTAGCAGAGAAAACTAGACATCCCTTTCCTCACTAACACTTTCCAGCTGATCCTGGGGGACCCCAAGGCATTTTCAGAGAGGAAACATAATCCCTCCAGCGAGTCCTGGGGTCTTCACCGGGGCCTCATACCAGTGGGACAAGCCTGAACATCTCTAAAGGGATATCTAGGGTATCAGATAACCCACCTCTAATGACTTCTTTCGATGCGGAGGAGCAGCGGCTCTACTCCGAGCTCACCCTGAGTGACAGAACTCCTCACCCTTTCTCTGAGTCTTAGCACGACCACTCTACAAAGGAAGATYATTTTGTCTGCTTGTATCCAGATCTTGTTCTTTTGGTCATGAYCCACGCCTCATGACCACAGGTGAGGTTTGGACCAYAGACAGGMCAGAAAATYAAGAGCTTTGCCTTTTGACTTAGYRCRTTCTTCACTGACCGATGCGACGCACTCATTACTGAGGATGAGGCACCAATCTTCTGTTGACCTATCTCCCGCATCATCTTACTATCACTCGTGAACAAGACACCCACAKCCCTAAACTGGTCCACCTAAACCCTTTTCTGCCTTTTCTGGTCAAGAACCATGGCCACAAATTTCGAGGAACTGACTCTCATCCCAGCCTGCTTCAAATCAACTGATTTAGAGCCATCTTTGTTTCTGATTGTTGATTATCTGTAGTGGCCACCTTGAATCGGGGTRACTTCTAAACTTAATCAGTGGTAAATATAAATCTAATGATTACCAATTTTCATTAAAACCCATCCACTGGCTCATGAGATATTTTGATAAGACTATGCAAACCAAACATTATCTTGGTCAACAATGATTGATGTGCATTAAAAAAAACTAAAGGAATATTCTTAAAGTCTTTCTTACAGTCTTATGCTTACAATGTTATCTTTAACTTATATACACCTTTATTTTTATTGCCCAACAACAGACACATTTGCAGCTGATAGCAGAAACAAAGCCTCTGAGCCTCACAGCAAAGCTTCAGAATATGTAGTCCGGCTTCATACACTGCTGATAATGTAAGATTGCAACTGCAATAATCTATCTGCAGTATTGACCTGTGAGTCCCTGAAGGTTATAGCCATCATCATGTAGGAGCTGTTTGAAAAATGCTGACAGCTTATTGGACGAGTTATTGATTAAGCGCTATAGCCTTCTGCTTCAATATTACGCAGCAGGTAAAGCAGAGCTGGAATGATTTTCAGTTATTACAGGGTATAAAAACATCCCGGTCTTATAAGAACTCATCAGGGAACTAACTGGTTTTTACCCCRTGTCATTATCATAYACATTTCACAATGTCAAAATATCTGTTGGTATTAGTGATTATTCAGTTCAAAACTATAGTATAGRAGACAGAACTGAACATGTTAAAAAGATTTGAGGAACAACACGAAGCTGGTTTAAGTCATATACTGTATATTGCAGAGTGCTATAAAAGGTAGGCAATCATATAATTGTTTGTCTGATTGTTAATGAAATATCTCATGAACTATTGGACAAAACTTCAAACATTAATCATTGGATCTCTATATTGTCTTTATCTTTCTGGCTTCTTCCTTATCAGCTGTTRCTAAAGTTAATCATCTGCCTCAAAGTCTAATTTCCACCAACGTCTTGCCGGTTARTAGCACTAAAGGTGTTTTTTATTGATCTGGGATCCAATAGATTTTGTGAAGCAGTCATATACTTGTTAGGACAATTGTAGATCTACATGTTTTCTTTGTTTGTTTGTTTGTTTTTTGTTTGTTTTTTCAGCACAAATTTTTCAAGGGATACCCTTTCTGCATTCACCAGTTATCCAGGCTTTAGACCTGCACCAGAAGTATACAAAATGCGCTTCTGGTGAATGGAACTACTGATCTCCATTTACAACTGTGATTAGTTTTTGGAGTCAACCCACTTCAAGATGGCTGCTACAACTATTCACTCTTAACAAACAGAATTCTACAGGTATTGAGTATAAATTTGGTGTAGTAGATGTGAGTCATTCTCATATTTACTCTGAGCACCAACAGATCTGTGTTTTTATATAAAACTTTGGTACGCAAAGCAGTGTGYAACATGCTTTCCTTCAAGATTTACTGCTTTTAATTTGAAAAGTATTTTAAATTTGAAACCAACCTTCTTTTTTAACATCAATCAGAATTCATCACATCATGAAAGTTGAAACTTTTGCCCATGACTTTTAAACAGTGCACTATTTTTTTCATGTAAATAGGTGTCTTCATGCAGCAAAGTCAGTACTGGAGTTCCACAGGGTTYAGTGCTTGGAACAATTTTCTTTCCTTTTACAGGCTTCTGTTTAATTACATCATCAGGCCTCATTGGATAAATATGCATTGTTATGCCAATGTTACTCAACTATGGTTTTCCAATAACCTACAAGCATGTATTAAAAGTCAGGATGGCTTTTGAATTTCTGCATTTAAAACTAAACAAGACAAAGCAGTCTTTGTTTAATTGAATTTAAATTTTACTGGGACATAAATCTGACCTGTTTGTGCTCTAAGATGACTTGTGTTGTGAACCGGTGCTACAGAAATAAACTGAATTGAATTAATTTTAAAATAGGGTGGATTGTTTGAAGGAAAAAAATTCTAACGTCTGGTAGAGCAATGTTCTTTTCCCCATGAATTTCACAGTGAACCACACCAGTGAACCAAACACTGAACACAAAGATGAACAAAGGTCAGAAACCAGAATTAGCGACCAATCACCAGAAAAAGAAAGCACAGACTTACAGCTAATAAAAAGAGAATGATGAAAGAAAAAGAAGAGTTGTTGGTATTTAGTTACCTTTTTGTTCCACTTCTAGTTTTAGGCATGAAGGGGAGAGAAAGACAGAAAACATAAAGAACAGATTAATCTTGAGAGAACTGTTTTTATATCATAGTCAAATAAAAGAACAGAAGAACTGGGTTAGTAGAAATGACAAATTCAACATTTGTTTCTTGAGCTTTAAAAAAGGAGAAAGACCACGCACACACCAACAACAACAACAAAAAAAACTTCATTTTTTTGTACATGAGCAAACTCCGCGGGGGATCCAATTTTTTTAAGTTCTGAAAAGTCATGATTCACCTGTTGCTTCAACAAAAGTGGACTTTTTTTTGTATTTTATTGTCCAGAGCTGTAATTCTCCCATCGTTCTGAAAGTCTTCTCCTGCTTTTATATGTTTCCAGTCCAGTCCTATGATCATTTTCCAATAAATATGTGAGTGGAAATTATTTGAAAGACCATCAGAAATTCTAAAAGTTGTTTTTTTTCTCAAGAGCTTCTCAAAATGATGCAAAACTGAAAATTGCAGACGACAACAGAACTGTTCTGTCAAGAAATGTTGCTTTATTTAAAAAAAAAAGAAGCATAAAGGTTGAATGTCACCGCATTCTTTGAAAAGTACAGCATTTCTGTGAATAGTTTTGAACAAAATGCGAACACTCTTTTGGTTCTGCAGCTCAACCAGTCCGCTGAAAGCAAGTGCTGAGGCTATTACAGCCTAAAGCTCTATATATCACTTTCTCTTTAGACAAGCCTCTTAGGTCAGTCGTGACATTCTGTCATTCTCCTTATTTCAGGTTGAGGTTAGCATCCACCATGCCTGTCTGCTCCTGTCCCTTTCCCTCCAGTAATCCTGCTTCTAATAAGASAGGATTAACCTCTGTTACCAGAGCTTACAAGAGTCCTCTCCACCAAAACGAAGAGAGCAACAGAGTGAGGTATGGAGGTCAGAGAATAGGTGAAGTCACAGGGAAGTTTGAAAGATGGAAAAGTTATTAGATGATGACAATATTAAATGGAAACCAGTGAGGAAAAAAAAGGAGGCAGAGTTGGTGGGGGAAAGAGGGGAGAAATAATGGCCGGAGCCTTTCAACAAGTTGTCTTCATGTCAGATCATAAACCTGAACACCGGTACAGCGCAGCACCTCATTAACGGCAAACACCCAGGCTGTCGCTAGTCCATAGCTAGGCAGGAGCACCAGTTGCTCTGGGCTGCATGTGAATCACCATTACTGGCGACTTGGATTTTCCAGTAGCACAGAACTGCATGCAGACCCCCATGCATCAAATCAAAGTAAACAGCCTAACGCGCCTGATCAAAGACCCCCCTCACCTCCCTTGAGCGGCCGCCACACAACAGGGACTGCGGGGACGCTAGCGTTTCTGATTGAACGATCGCTAACAGTGACTTGGGGAGAGCAGGGGTAATGATCTATAAAAAAAGGCATTAGTGGCGAGGATGTGAGAAGTGGTATACGATGCAATCACCAGGGGAGATGGTGTGAAAAGGGAGTAAAGGATGTGGATGAAATCCCCCCCACCCCTTCTTAGCCTACCCCCAACAAGGAAACACAGCACCCTGACGCTACCGCCCAGCATGTAGCGCTTTCACTTGACCGGAAGACGCTATGAGGGATGCTATAAGGTCACCCGTCAGTGCACTCAGYGTAATTTGTTGGTGTCATGTCTGCCCATGTTTCACCACAGACTGAGACATAACTGTGATGTGTGCCTCACATATCCACATTGCACTCGACCGCAAATAGAGAAGCTTTTTTTATTTTTTATTTTTTTTGGGTGGGGGGGCAGATGAGAGGATTGATTTATTTGAAAAGCTGCTTTTTTCTTCCCCCCCACCCCCACTCTGCCCCACCACCTCCATTGTGACCTTAATACGATTTTGGTCACGCCTGTCACTGAGTCACTAAAAAGCACTTAGCTCGCTCTCATCTCTTTCTTCTACTTTTCTGTTTCCCTCCCGGCCCCTCTGAGATGAGTGAAGGAATGAATGAATGAGTTCATTTCAGTTCTTGACGTATTTAGATGTAAATAGGATTTACAATGTAAAACAAACAAAAAATATACATATGAGATGATTTATGCTTGCATTAAATCAGAGGCACACAGAAAACCTACAAGTCAARACACAACATGGGATTTCGGTCTTATGTTGGCCTTAATATGTTGTTATTTCTATATTATACCAAAGGTTTTTGYTTTGTTTTTTTGTTAAACATTCAACTATGTTTATTACATTTTCACTTAAGTAAGTGACCATTTTTGACTCAATGCATTTTGGGGATGCTGATGATGGGTTACAGTTGAGACCAAAACACAGGGACACAACAACAGAGATGGCTGGACCAGGGTATCGAACCAGCGACCTTCTGGTTCCAGGACGACTCCCCGAACCACTCTGCCACAGCCGCCCACATAATAATAAATAATGTCTAATGTTACAACTGGCCTCAGTTCAAGCCCATACATTCTTACTAATTTTTTTTATATTTTGTCCTATTAATATGGCCTGCATATGTGCATTTGTCTCTGCTAACACAGCATATCATGACCTAGACATATTTTAATGAAACTCTCAAARTACTTATTGWATACAGCTGATTAAATTTAGAATTTGACCCAATTCAAGATGGCCGCCACTGCTCTCTGACCATAGCGAATTCATGTTAYAACTCAATCAGTTTTACAGATASTGAGCAAAAATTACAAATGACAGTAGTTAAAGAGTCATCCCATAACACATTTTGGATGCTGATAAATTAGGTGAGGATTTTGTTAAAATGTTTCCCATTAATTTATTAAGTCAAGCCAGTCTGTTAGCAAATTATCCCATTAACCCGTGGGCAGATTTTGATGAAACTCTTCGAAAACAAAACACGTCTTAGAAAATCCCATAAAAAAGGCTTTATGTTATRAAATTTTGTGCTTTGTCTGTATTCCAGCACAGACAGCAAAAACATTTACAAGGGTCTTCATTCAAGACTTGTTATGGTAACCTTAGATTTACCTTTGGTTTTAAAAGATACAAATAAAAAATAAAACTGTMAGTAATACAATTGTTGTGTTTGAAGATGGTGAACAAGTTTTTTCAGGCTTGATTGCACTTCAAGTTCATTTTAAACCAGTTAATAATGAAATCCAATATTCATGTTACCAGCATATTTTGGGCATGGAGTGATCGTTCTGTTAAAAATCTGGTCAGGGTGGAGTTTTGAGCTGGGAGCGTTTTGAAAGGTTTTCGGTTGTGAGTAAAGCTGCAACTACAAGACGCCACTCGAAGTCATCATTTGCCAAATAGCTGCAATCTGCTCCCGAATAAATAAAAAGATTTAGTTTACAGGATGGAAGGCCAGTTGGATATCGCTTCAAGTGTGCAACCGTCTGCTGCATTTTGCCAGAGGAGCGAGATAAACAGCTGTATTTAGTATTTCTTTGGTACAAAAGCTCAAACAGATGAAGAGGACTTGGCAAAATTTCTGTTTGAGATTTGCCAATGTTCGAAGCTTCTTTATTTGTAAAACAAAACGATTGTGAAAAGATGCGCCTGGACAGCAACCAATGGAAAATGACAAGTTTGGTGYGACGTCTTCACTGATAAATTACTGCAATTTCCTTTTTTTAATATCTGAGGAATAATTAAGCGAACACTCTTGTTAAACAAATCACTGAACAGCAGACAAAATTAACCATTTTTGTTTTTGCTAAGGCCAGTTGGCTGAAGCAGACTTATAGTATGTGTACTTGTCTTCTAAAAGCTATTTCAGTTTAATACTTGTTTGCAATTAAAATGCTTACCAACAATTTTTTGCCTCACTACCATTTCTTTTTTGCGTTTCGAAGCTCTTTTTTTAGAACCTTCTTATGATCCAACAGAGCAAAATGTGAATTCTTGCCTTCATCAGCAGCATATGTAAAACTACCTGAGTTACAACCATTTTGTAGCCATCGTCGTAGTTATTTTGATTCAGGTTGACTCTAAAAGTTAACCGGTTGTAATGATTTCCTGCAAGTTTTGTTAAATCCTGTCAACTGGTTTATGAGATAAATTGCTAACAAATAGAAACATACAAACCTCTGTTGATATTTTTGTCTGTTTTAGTGTCTACAGAAATTAAATGTAGGTAAAGGTTCAGTAAATGACAAGGCAGATGTTTATTATAATAGAAAACTAGTCAGCATATATTTTATGTGTTTATCACATTTGGAAAACCTATAATAAACTCCCCGCTTCATGCTAATTGTGGCCTACTTCCTGCCAAGGACTCATGCTGAGCAGCTAACAGTGGAGAAGTTTCGAGCCCATCATGTGAGTGGCAGCTATATGGATTTTCATTTGAATAATTAATGCCTCCCAATTTCATACTAATGGCTGAGAGGTATCAGAATGGTATCATTAGCTGCTAATAGAGATTCATGGCAAAATGACAACGGCATTTTTTGCAATATCCCTCCCTTCCCACGCCAACCCGTCTCGTTCCTCTGTCTCAACGAAGGAGCTGAAGAGTGAAAACCCCTTAACTCCATCCCATCAGCTTTTTAATTAATGACACAGATTACAGGGCTTTGAATAGCATATGCCTAAGGATGGGGGAGGACACAACGGTCTACCATCTCTCTTTCTCTGAATTCCCTCTTCGTTCCCTCTCATTTTTTTTCGTTCTATCTTTTCCCTCGACCGGCGCTCATGTGTCTCCCAAACCATCATTACAGGTTCCATTTCTCAACAGCTATTTTTCTCTCTTTTTTTACCCCCCTTTCAACCACTTGTCTGCTCTCTTTGTGCTGCCTTCAGCTACTTATTTAATCTCCTCCCCATAGTGTCTCTTTTCTGTCTCCATCGCTCTCTCCATCCCTCCTGCAGGGGAATGGCTTTGCTATCTTATAACCTTGACAATGCAGGATGTTGTCCGTGTTCGAGCTTCTTCTTCTTCTTCGGTATGTGGAAACGTGTGTGTTTGTCTCACTTTGAGGGACAGGTGTGGGGGTGGAGGGTTGGAGAG